TACAATATGTTATAAGTACTTTATATTTAAATCACTAAATTTAATAACATTCAAAGTTTTGATTTCAATTTTCCGTGTGAATTTGAAAGACAAAGTGTCATTATGGTTGCGTTTGACCATCTGGCATCAGACATAGCATGTGGCATGCACTAACATAAAAGAGAGAGAGAAAGAGGGAAATAGACCTAATCGTAGGGTAAGTGTCTGAAAGGTGAAGTAACCTAGGACAAGTGTAACGGGTCATGGCTGAATACAAAATCCAAGTCCCTCATGCGTGTCCTACACGTGGAATAGAAGGGACAGGACATTGAACTTTGGTCCTTGACCCTATTTGAATGTACACTGTACATATACTACTTTATTCAAATTGAACTTTTTTTTTTGGGATACAACTTTTTCTATTATGAACAAACATATCTTGTTTTGAAAATGAATTTATCTGCAAGATCTCAATAATAATGATTTCAAAGAAAGCAAAGGAATGGATTCTTTATTGAGAAAATCTCATCTTAATGATTGTGTTTGAAATTCATTTACAAGAAAATATTAGAGAAAGATGCTACACTCAATTAAAAGGACAAGAGCATAGAATAAAAATGTTAATTAGGTTAAATTCAAAAGATATCATCATATTGAGTAAACAATTTTTGTGAAGGTAAACATAATTGGTTTTTATCTCTTTAAAAGTTGAATATTTTATAAATTGTAGAAAAATGATATACAACTAATAATAAGAAGACTCCCAAGTCAAAATTCTATGAATACTGTAGCATACTTAAAATACACGCATGTTTTGATCTAAGGCTTGTCATAATATATTTCAAAGAATAATAATAAGTATATTTTACTAAGTAAGGCATATGATACCTTTGCTAAACATTGAAAAATCATTTTCATTCTTTAATGAGTTAAAGTCTATTATGACGCGGGATACTAACTAAAATGTCACTTTCACCAATTTTTTTACCTAAATATCACGTGAATAGTGTTATTTCTCAATCTGCCACAGGGGCAAGTTCGCTTCTCGGTGTAACGAACTCGGTTTGCTGACGTGTCACATTTTTAGTGGATAACAAGTATCAAATTTAAAAAAAAAATAAAATAAAAATGAAGGTCGCCTACCATGTAGGCGAACTTGGTTAAAATCAAGTTGGTGTCCACTAGAAACATGACACGTCAGCAAACCGAGTTTGCTACACCAGGAAGTGAACTTACCCTAGTGGCAGATTGGAAAATAACACTGTTCGCGTGACATTTAGGTAAAAAGTTGGTGAACAGTGGCATTTTGGTCAATACGCAGCCTTAGATATTTGGGATGATTTTTTGCTATTCTGAATTTATTTTATCAAGGGATGATAGATAACTTGGTTTCAAAGAAGTATTTGATTGGCAACTCTAGAAAATACTTATTTCACTTTTCCCTCTTCAAGATAAAGATATTTTGTTAAAAAGAGAAATTGAGTTAAAAAAAATGAAATAGATTCTACTTTTTTAGAATCTAATATATATCATATTTTAGAAAATAAAATAATCTCATATACACATATAAAAAAATGTAAGTTTCATGTGAGGTAATGCAAGAAAAAGAGAGAGAAAAATATCACATGATTTTATGTATGTGTAGAAAATAAAATTATTTTTGATTGCATAATTTTTTTTTATATCGATTTGAGTTGAAGTGTTGTTTATATCAACTTCAATTATCTTAGATATAATTTATTTACTACAAACAAGTGGATCCACTAACATAAATTTGTTTTCTTTTAATTAGTGGTATTGAATTTAAATTTTTCATGCTCAGTTGTATTAAATACTTGATAGGAAAAGGTTTGTTAAGTTGTAATCATGTCGTGCGTTAAATGAATTATTGGAATAATCGATGAATCAATGAAAAAAAAAAATGTAATTTACTTTTACATTATTACATCTATCATGCTAAGCACTTCACACAATTTGAAATTCAATCCGTCCCAAAATGAAACATTAGCATATAAATAGTCAGGTGAAAAGTTTAGGAAAAATATAATAATAAGATATAGATTAGATTAGATGAAACGTATCATTAATTTTGTTGACGAAAATCATGACTTTGTGGGAAAGATAAGATTTTTATTATTCTTGCTTTTTTATGGTTCTCTAAAAAAATATTATTTTCTCTTTCACTCACGGGTAAGGAAAGTCTTTCCCAACTAAGGCAGCTACCTGCTACAAGGACCAATCCTCACTGTCACGTGCCACCCTATGCATTCAGAATTTCAGATTCTAGTATGTAAAAAATATCTCACGTACCCTTTTTCTTTACTAGATTGTATGCATATACTTTAAGGTTTATTATCTATCATTTAACATGATCACAAAAATTTTTCTACACACATAACATTTTGTGGGGCCCGCAGCAAAAAAAAAAAAAAAACTTCGGCACGCAAAACGAATCTCTATAACATAACACAATTACTTTTCCTACAACATAACTCTTATAAAACCCTATACTTTATTATCAATGTGATCTCATCTTGTACAATATATAAAAAAATTGGATACACGACATCTACTAAGAAAAAAAATAAATCTTATTCTTTTTTATGTTATAGGAAATAAAATTAAATAACGTTATATACCACCTTTATGTATAAAACCAAAAACATCTAACTTCCCCAATCAACTTTAATAGTTACCCAATTCAATTACTCTTTTATTAAATTAAAAAATTACTGAATTGTCCTAAAAGTAGTATAAATTCTCCTTAAAAAAATTCCCAAAAGAATAATTCTGAAAAATAATTTAGCAATCCTCCTATTTATATAGGGAAAAAGGGCATGTATAGTTAATATTTTCACTTTTTTATTTTACTTTTCTTTCCTCCTTGTACAATTGGGATGACAGTTAAGTTGATATTTTTGAATTTAACAATTCTCCTAAAAAAAGTACTAGCATTAGATACTTTTGAAAGCCTCAAATCTTGCATTTTTAGTCAATTTCTCTTCCTAGGTAATTAAAGAATGAGATTATTATTTATACGAGATAATTTTATTTCCTACACACACATAAAAGTGTATAAAGTCCATATGAGGACATATAAAAAGAAAAGAGAAAAAAATGCAAAGTTCATATATTTTTATGTGTATAAGAGATAATTTTATCTTCTGTATTATGAAAACATTAATTTTTTAAAGAAAGGTCTTTTTTGGTTATAAAATTTTCATTTTGTGCATAATTTAAGGAATGGTACCTTATATTATACTTAAAAAAATTGAGTATATCAATCAAATATATTAATTTAAAGTCAAACTTGATTGACATAAAATTTTCTGAATTGGTCATACAGGATTGATCAGATCCAAATCATGATCATTGAGCTAGTAATTTTAAGTCCGGGGAATTTTTCTTCTGTTTTGCAACAGGCTGATTCTTCAAGTTGTTCATAGCAGGAGGAATTGGTAGCTCCCAAACACTTCAACACTCAAACCATATTAGTCCAATAAATTAATGTATGAATAAAATTAGAATCAAAATAAACATATTAGTCCACCATGAAATAATATTATAATTAGTGGACATTTATGAACCAAGTACCACTAATATGCATCAATTAGAAAGACTTTTTGTTTGGACAAGATTCAATTTTGTGAATGGAGTCAATCCTAACTTAACACTAAACTAACACATTCAATGTATTTGCTAAAAATCTTGGAAAAAAAGGAGAAAAAAAAAATTGCAAAAGGAAAGAAGAAGAAAAGAAAAGAAATCCACTTCAGTGGCATTACTTGGTAATTAAGAGGACCATAAAGGGCATATTATAACCCATCATCTTTCAAATTGAGAAAAAAGACAAAAAGCAGGTCAGCGGCAACATAAAGGCTATGCCGTCCAATTCACCTTTGCAGCTTTAAATGGGAAAACAAATTAATTTGTAAAAAAAAAAAAAAAAGACATCACTTTATTTATTTCCCTATAATTTAGATTGCTTTTTAACAAATTTACCATTTTAACCATTGTTTCAAATATATATACATACATATATTAAATATGAAATTTTTTTAATTGCCCCTCACGGACGTGAAATTTTTCTTAACCAAATTGTATTATTTATCGGGTTTAGGAATTTATTCAAATAAATTTTAAAAATATTAATATTTATTTAAATTTAAATACACTTTATCATTCTTGGTTTTATCTTTGGTTTTTTCTCCCTGGTTTATTATTATTATTATTATTTTTTAATTGCTGTAACAGTAGTATTTATTTTGAGCCTTCCATTTTTTTATTTTCTCTCTTTTTCATCTTTCAATTCAAGCAGCTTTGGAAAAACCAACCACCCAACGGATTTTTTTCACCTTCTGAAATTTGTAAGTTTCTTTGAATTTCTTGAGCAAAAAAAAATTATTTTTTTTCATTTTTTTTTTTTTTAAATTTTTTGGTATTTTATATTTTTCACTTTCTGGGGTGAGTGAGCTTGGTGAGTTGTGGTTGAGCTGAAAAAGAAATCTGAATACAAGTTTGTTTTTTGTTTTCAGCTTTGGAAGAAGCTTGCTGAAGTGTGGAATCACAGTGACAGGTTATGATCTTTGCATTCTGAAGAATATCCACAGCTTGATGTTGATATGCTTTCCATAAGAGAACACAAGGAGTTTTGTTTGAAAATTTTAATTTTATTTTTGGTATTTATTAATGATTTTCCCCCCTTAGTTTCAGCTTTTTGTCTTTTGATATTTAGGAAAATGCTGGGTGTGAAGCAGATTTATGATAAAGGATTTAGTTTATTTTCCTTTTTTTGGAAAAGCTTATGGTGTTTTTGGATGGCTTTTTCTGATTTTTTTTTTTTTTTCTGGCTGAGAAATATTTGGAGCCAAGGGATGGTATTTTTTTGTAATTTTTTTTAGCCAAGTGGTTTTTTTAAAATTAAATTTTATAAAATTGTACCATTTTACTAGTTTTGTTATTTTGCTTTTAATGGCTAATATATGTATTTTTTTTCATCTCTTGTTATGAGGTAAATTTCTGGTTCCTGTATTTGAAACCAAGTACCCATTTTTCAGAGATGCTTCTCAACTCTGAACCCTGAGTGTTGTGATTTCTTTTTCTTTCTTTCATTTTTTTGTTTCTGTTATTGATTTTATGCATAGCTTAAGTCTCAAATGGATCTCTATCTCTGCTGATATAGTGAAAAGGCTTCATGTAAATCCAAAGTTTGCGTCTTTTCTGCACCTTCTTTCTCATTTATGAGATCCTTTGATGGGTTTTCACTTTGCCTTTCTATCATGCTGAAGAAGGTTTGAAGGCATTAATGCTTTTGCTAAAAGCTATAATTTTTGTAATGATACATGCTGTAATAAGTACTAGCCCATTTGCTTTCTGATTGTTTTATATTCATTTCTGGGGTTGTAGGTATTGGTTTGGTAGTATAGACTGGGGAGTGAATTCAATATATGCATGGAAGCAAGAGAAGGTATGAGTTCTGGGGTTACAGTGATAGGGGCAGAAGCTCCATCAGCTTATCATGTTGCACCAAGGAGTGAAGCTCCAAACCAGGTTCATGTACCTGAAGCAGCAGCAGCTGCAGCTGTTGGTGTCTCACCAGTGAGTGTGGGGTTGGATGGAACAGCAGTTAAGAAGAAACGCGGTAGACCAAGGAAATATGGGCCTGATGGGTCTGTGACTATGGCATTGTCACCGTTGCCAATCTCATCTTCAGCTCCACCTTCTAATGACTTTTCAACCGGGAAGCGGGGTAAGCCGCGGGGGATGGAATACAAGCAGTCAAAAAAAGTTGGGTTGGATCATCATAATCTAGGTAATGGGGCCTTTGATGCTTTTAAGGCTCATGTTGGTAACTAATATGGTTTATCAAGTGACTTTCATTTTGTTGGTAACCATTTCCTTGTGGTGATGTTTGAAGCATGTTTCTGTTTTAGATAGTGAAATTTCTTGTCTTGCTTCTTTGAGTTTGCTTTCCTTGAAACCATGAAAAAGCTCTCAATTTTGTTTTTTTTTAAATAGCTTATTAAAGTCAACCTATTTTACAGAATTTTTTTGCAAAGACTGGTAAAATGAATTAACTTGCAAATTTGTTGTTTCCATTCATTGAAGGGAGAAATTTGTGTTAGCAAGGAAGTCTTTTTTTTGTGATTTTCATTTGTTACATCTTTACCTTTTGTGGGGGTGAGGAGATACATAATATCATTGGGATTGAATGCATCTGTTAAGTGGCATGGTATTTCTTGATAGGCAACCTCATTGGCTAGCTTGACCTTATTGACATTTAGGTTGGTCATCCCTAGTCTACTTGAGGAGAGTGTTGTCTTGGAGTTAAATTGACACTGTTTAATTTCTGAATGGCATGGCCCCTATCCTAAGTCCTAATTGGTTAGGAAAATGCCACCAATCTAATTAATTTTTGTTTAAAATTGCTACCATTGCTGAGATAATTTATGTAACTTGTGTCCTGGTCCTGGGGATAATTTATGACTGCTTTTATAGATATTATTGCTTCCTTCCTAAACTTCAAAACTAAGGTCGGTAATATCTATTGTTGGTACTTCTGTAGGTGACTTGACTGCATGCTCTGATGGTACAAACTTTATGCCGCATATCATCACTGTCAATGCTGGCGAGGTATGCCTCACGGGGGGGAAGGGCCAGGGTTTTAGCTTCATTTAGTTCATACAAGTTTGTCTTGAATTTATCTCTTAACTTTCTCTTGTTATACTTACACTTGATGTGTATAAATATCTGATCTTTGCCACTTCACTTTTCTGATGGTCTACTGGTTAAGTCTAAACCTATCCATTGTGTGTAGAGGTCTGCTCAATTGCCGGTTTGCTGGTATACTTTGCAAATAGACAATAGTCATTTGCTAGCCCTTTTTCTGCTTGTTTATTTGGAAATAACATTTGAATTTCCGATTCTTTTAGAAGGTTTATTGTTTATTCTTTTTTTGTTTATTCACTTTTCCCTTGTCCTTCACCCCTTCCTTTCAAAAACCACCGAGAATATTGAGATAAGCATTCTATTTGCTTCTGGCTTGCTATGGATTATGGAATATGGATATCTAGATTCCTCTTTAGTAGGAGTTCAGCCAGTAAAATATTTTTAAAATAGTTGAAAGATTTATGAAATTCTTTGCAGTGCTATAAACAAAGATGGTTTGTTAGCTAAGCTTCAGTTTTGTCTTTCAAACAATTTCTGTTTTTTCATGGTGTTATAAACTTGTTCTTTGTTATTTTTTCTCCATATTGTTATCACGGTCTAGAAGTTTCTATTGCTGTCTATTTTGATTATGATTGTAGATGTGTGTTTTTCTGCATTTATGCTCATTTAATGTCATTTTGGATTGGCATCCTCACAGATGTTTATAAATAAATGTATACAAATCTTAATATCATGTAATATGGAAATAGTTGGAAAAAAAGGGGTTGGTTGTAGACAGATACAATTTCAAATATTACATTGGGTTTTGATGGTATCAACGTTCTCATGGTTAGTTGAAAAGTTGTGTGGTATGATAGCCTAAGGTGCATGGATGGAAAGCCTTAAATATATGTTTGACTTCTTTTTTCTTTTTCGGTAACATATACTTCTTTATTCTATATTAGAGTTGATTCTCTGTGAACTATGCCTTAGCTTAGCTGGTATGAAAGATGTTTTTTTTTCAAAAAAATTAGCACTTTTGTAAAATTAGTGCTGTTAAATTTGTCTGATAAAATGGGTTTAATGGACTGTAAATAAAAGCCCTTTATAGATGCGTACTGACTACTATTAACTAGAACTGAAGTTTGTCCCCCCCCCCCCCCCCCCCCCCTTCTCTCTCTCTCTCTCTCTCCCCTTTTCTGTTTTTTTTTTTTTTGGTTTATTGTGGTCTTAAGACATTTTGTTTAAAAAGCCAAGCATGCGGTTTTTGTTTCCTCCGGACCTGGATTTATCCCTTTTCATTTCCCATGTTTATTAACATTCATCTCATGTATTTGGTCTGATGCGTATAAAAAAAGTAGGACTTGTTTCTTGCAAATATTCTTATTGACAGAGGACTAGCCAATAATTATTTAATTCTTATTAAGCTTAGTTTGAAAAATCTTGTATAATTTGTTAACGCTATTCTTGTTTAATAATTCCTTACTTGCTTCTAGATTTGCAATGTATTTTGGTGAGCAAAAAATAGTTGTATTTCTTTTCTGCGTATATTAGACTTACTCCTATAAAGTTACTTTCAATTTAGTTGTAGCTCATAACAAATAGTTTGAATCAAAGGGAAAAAGCTCATGTTTGTACTTTATTATCCATTTGATGGAGAAAAGCCTTTATTCACACCTTTACTTAAACATTATGTATTTTTATGATGCTAAAACCTTCTAAAAGATAGTTGAATAATGTAATCTTGCTTTTTACTCTTTGGTTGTTGTAGGACATTACAATGAAGGTGATATCCTTTTCTCAACAAGGACCCCGAGCTATATGCATCTTATCTGCTAATGGTGTAATATCAAATGTTACACTTCGACAGCCTGATTCTTCTGGGGGTACTTTGACCTATGAGGTGCAGTAGTATATCATGCCATTGATTAATGGTTTTTTATTTCTTTTTCCAATCTTTCCTTTTTTACAATGACATTTTAATGCAATTAAGCAGGAATCCTCGATTTGCTTGAAGCCAGAGTTCATTTGAAACTTCTATCTGACTAAACATGACTTTGTTCAATTTTATTTTGCTCATAAACTCAGAAAATTTGCTAAATAAGCATATATGAATGAAACTTTCGCTCTTCATTGTGCCTATTTCCTAATTGGTTTCATATTGACCTTTATCTCTCTTTCAAGATGGATGCATTATTGTTAATTTGATGTATTATTTTCTTTGGGGCGTGAAAATTTTGTTGTTGTTTAAGATTGAACCTGAGGTTCCTTGATATGCTTCTGTCTAGGTTATGTTGCTTCTGTTTGATATTGTATGCATTATTAATGGTCATGAATCCATGATGATTATTTTAAATTAATTAATTACTTGAACTAGAAGTATGAATAAAAGTTGTGGGGATTGAGATAATTATCGGATTTCTAATATTTATAATCAGGACAGAAAAAATGAAATATTAGTAATGATGTCCTGAATTTATATAGGCAAGGTTTTGTAAACACTTTCTTTTTAGTGAATTAATCATGATGGTGAGAAAGATGAATTCTGTGATACGGTACAATTTCACAAATATATGTACTAAAAAAATCAGATTGTTGTTATTCATCATTTTATCTGTTGGCAGTTCAAGACAAGATTATATATTATTGGTAATTCGCATGAAATAATGACGATGCAAGCATATAGGGAAAACATAGGGTAGTAATAATAAACTAACAAAAAAGCTTTGCAAGTGCAATTAATTTGTATGCTGCTCATGATGAAAAGTTGTAGACGGACATGCCAAATTTATATAAATTGATTTTCAAGCTGAACGTTATAATAGTTCATGATTAAAATATATTAGTTGTTACAATTTGTAGTCATAATGTTGAGAAATGAATTGCTTGTCCATATTCTATGGGGAATTCTTTCAAATGAAAGTTAGCTTCTTACCCTTTGATCTAAACTCAATATAGATAATTCATTAAACTTAGGCAAAGGCTAACAACAGGCGTTGTTGCTCTCTTTATTACCCTCTTGTATAATATTAAAAATAGCTGCTCTACCAAGGAATTTTGAAAGCTTGACCATACACGAGGGAACCTTGATTGTGAGTCTAGCAGAATATACAATATAGACATGACAAATAGTGGCTTCTTGATTCTTGTGAAAATAGTCAGGTCAGAGGCTTGATATTACAAAATGACGATTTTTTTAGGGGGGCGGGGTGTCAAAATGTTTAAATTATTCCTGATATGCATGTTAGGCTTAAGAAAAGAACGTTACCCCTTCTTAGTCTTAAAAAGAGAAAGGCTAGCAATGTTGCTTAGTTTAAGAAGATTGCAGCATTTAGGTTTTTTGCTTTGTAGATAGTAGAAACAAATAAGATTAGGTTTGGCTTGAAATGGCTGACATAAATATCTGAATTTTCCGTTGTCTTTGCTGCTACATGATGGTCATTTGCATATAAGTACGGGGAACAATTTCTTTGCATATATGTAAGGGTAAAGATGCATACAAAGATTGTCCTCATCTCTACCTTTACTGGTCGGGGTTTAACGGGGAGTGATTTTTTTATTGATATGGGTTCATGATGGTTCTATATATAATATCTTCTGTTTCACTTTTTTTATTTTTTTTTCAAAAAACATTTTGTAGGGCCGTTTTGAGATACTTTCCTTGTCTGGATCATTCATGCCTACTGACAACCAAGGAACAAGAAGCAGGACAGGTGGGATGAGTGTCTCGTTGGCAAGCCCTGATGGTCGTGTTGTTGGTGGTGGAGTTGCTGGTCTTCTTGTAGCTGCCAGTCCTGTGCAGGTGAACATCTCCCCACTCTTCCCGCTTAGGTCATTTGCTCAAAAATGCTTAAGTTTATGCGTACTAATAAAATCACTCCCCGTGAAATCTTGACTTCCGAGAATTTGGGTGAGGGAAATCCTTGTGTGCATCCTTATTCTTACACTTGCAAAGACTTCCGAGAATATGGGTGAGGGAAATCCTTCTGTGCATCCTTATTCTTACACTTGCAATTCCTGGATTCGAATCCATGACCTTTCAGTCACTAAGAAGTAGCTTTATCCATGCTCTAGACTTGCACTTTGGAGTTCATGTGTACTTATCTGCTTGAAAAATAAACCACATAATTTTCCAAACAAAATAGGATTGAATATTGAAAGAAGCTAGCTTGCATGCCTTAACAAGTAGACATAATTGTTCCTTAAATGAAGGATGACTTATGCATGTTCTCTTTTATATATCAGGTGGTGGTGGGAAGTTTTCTACCAAGCAGCCAGCAAGATCTGAAACCAAAGAAGCCCAAGTCTGATTATGCAGCAGCCAATGTTAATCCAGCCATTGCCATGGGAGTATCTTCTGCACCACCACCCCCAACTAATGCTGAAAAAGAGGATGTAATGGGTGGACATGTACTGCACAATTCAGGAAATACCCTTAACTCAAGCCTTACTCCTCCAAATGCCTTTAGAAGAGATAACTGGGTCAACATGCACTCTATGTCAGATTCAAGAAAGTCAGCAACTGATATTAACATATCTTTGCCTGATAGTTAAGTTGATGAATGATCAACCTGCAAAAGCAATCATCTATCCTCAAGGTCTTGCTGACAACATTAATGACTAAGCCTGTTTATTTGATGTTTGCAGTGTTCTCTATTATCTATGATTGTTTCAAACCTGTTGTCTGATGATGTCTATCACTATAGGATGTAGTTCCCCACTTCACTTGCAGCTTAATTAGGTAGAGTATCTGATTTATCGGCTGATTAGGTAGATGCTGCACTTGTGATGCATTATGAGTAGGCTAATTTGGATGTAATGAGAACTTGTTTGCCTATTTATTTATGACTGAATTTGTTGAAGCTTTTCATCCCTAAACTAGCCATTTGCTTTTTGATTTTGTTTTTGTTTTTTATTTGGTATATTTGAGATTTGTTTATGTGATTTAAGGCTGTGTTGGGATAAGTTTTTTTAAAAAAAATATAAACAAACATTTTTGGTATTATTTTTACAAAATTAGAAAGAGTATTTTGAGAAAATTTAAAATTGAAGTTATAAATATTATTTCTTAAACGTTCTTTAATTTATTTATTTTTTGAAAAATTTGTCTATTTGTTTGAGAAAGTATACATTTTTTAAATAAAAAAATATTTTACTAAAAAAAGAATATACAAATTAGGAATCCTTAAATGTATAATCTTTAGTCTAAATTTAAGTTATAGTGGAAATTTTTTATATTCAAAATTATTTATCTTTTTCAAGAATTATGTTTCCAACTTATGTTTGATAACACTTAAATTTAGTGCAATATCTAAGTAATAACCGGATTTAATTCTTGGATGCGGAAGTGGAGAACATGGAGCGATATGGCTGAAAATTTAAAACATACTTTTCTAATATATTTTATGTCTTCAATTTTATATTTTATTACCTTAATTTTCAAAGAAATATTAAATCGACTCTTGAAGTTGAAATGATGTACAATCCTTTGTTTCCGTATTTAATATACTTTTGAATATAATTTATTGGTTTATCAGTTATTCGATTAGTCTAATTCGAATTGGATAGTATTGCATAAATAATAAAAAAAATTCTATCAAATTTTAACACAACTGTATTTTTCAGGATTAATTATACTTTTTTAAAATTATTTATGTCGAAATTATAGAACAATTTTTAAATTTCTCATCGATGGTAACTTTCATTTAAAATCAAAACTTCAATATATATTTTTAAATTAGAAAAACCACTATTAATTTAGTATTAAATATGAAAAATATTTGATAAGTAGTTTTACATTTTTAATTTTGTCAGAAGAGTCTGAAAGTGCTCTATCTTAACTTATCACAGATATTAAAAAAAATCTAAAGTTAACTCAATAAATAATATCATATAAAAAATTATTTTAAATAACTTTACCTCATACGAGTCTTCGTTAATAATAACAAACAAAAGAAAATCATATTTGTTGTAAAATGAAATCGATAGACACAAGAAAGACATTTTAATAAGTGTTTGTCATTTTAAATAATATAAAGTTATGTCATTTTAAGAGAGATAGACACAAGAAAATATTTTTTTATTTAAAATTTAAATTACACTTTCTCTCCTATGATTTCCATTCTTTGTATCTATCTCTCTTAAAATGACATAACTTATGTCATTTAAAATGACAAGCACCAAACCCTTTAAATTAAAAAAATAGAGATTACAAACCGTTAAAAACGCGTTTAGTCTATGAATAAATAGTTGACCTTCACAGTAACCTAAAACATATTCTTATCTTACCATATTCTTATTCGTTTTGTTTTTATAAAGTTAGTTTAGATAATTTTGTATAATATCTATCGAAATAATGTCATTTTAGGATAGAAATTATTATGTATTTATAATTTTAATTTATTTCGGGGTTATAATAATTTTTATTATTCTAATTTTTTAATTTTTCAACCCAAAACGACATTGTTTCAGAAAACATTAGACAAAACTATCTAAAATAACATTAGATACTTTTTAAAAAAGTGAGACCAGCAATTTAAATGAACAAAAACTTGACATGAAATTCGATCTATGTGCAAGAATCAATATTCTCTTATTGAAAAGAGAAAAGCATTCCCCTAAAAAAATCATATATAATATGATTTTACATAATTTCTTTAAAATTATATTTTGAAGTTTTTTGTATTTTGACTTATTTATAGATTTGTTTCTATTTTAAATTTTTAGAAAAATTTAGAACTTACAATTTTAATTAAAATATAGTAAATAGCTCAGAAAATTTTATAAAAAAAAAAATCTTTACAAATTATTTTTTTTAAAATTAACATTAATTGTTAATCTTATATATATAGCACGTTAAAAATAATTTAAATAATATTAACAAAAATAAAAGCATAAAATTGAAAAAGGGTTCGTTGAGACTGTTATTTTTTTAAAAAATAACATTTATAGGATGTAATAATACGATTTGTTCTTCCACATTTTTATGGTAGTGGCTACGATGTGATGATGGTTGTGGTCTATGAAGCACCGACACTTCAAAATCCCTAACGTGTGGTGTTCGACACTTTCTGACACTCCAACACTTCTCGACACTCCAATACTCGTTGCAAAGACTCAAAAAAAGTTCAAAGGTTACGTTGCGTTGCATTTTGAGTTTCAACTATTAGATTCGTTGGATTATGATTACTATTTTATTTGAGTTTAATATAATCTTATGTTCATTTGCAAAATTGATGGGTATTATAAGTTTAGCTTTATTTTTTATTAAATTATTGAATATTAAATATAATATGCACTGCATAAATTAAAAATATTATATAACATCAAAACGTGTCCTAACTTGTCGAAATTTAAGATTTTATAGAATTAACGTATCGGAGTGTCGTGTCGTGTCGTGTTCCGTGTCGGTGCAACATAGGTTGTGGTGATTGGTGGTGGTGGTGGTGGTGGTGATAGTGGCATGTGGTAGTGATGGGTGGAGGCCGTGGTGATGGTGGTGACGACAGCAATGATGGTACGACGGCGATGGTGACGATGGTGGCGGTAGTCGTGTCGGGATGATGGTGATGGTAATGATGATGATAGAGGTGGAGAATGATTGAGAGAGACAAGTGTTTCTCATTTTTTGCCTGGAAACAAAAAATCAAAAGTTTTGTGATTCTTTTTTCTGTTTCCAGCTCAAAAATTAAATCGGTTCATCACGGGAACAAAAAAATGAACCGATTTTACTAAACGAGTTTTCTATCCATTTCTGTTGCCACGAACAAAAATTAAAAAAAAATAATTTCGGGAAGGTTGTCATGCACACCTTTATATGATCAGTTCACCGGTTCTAGGGTTAACTCGGTCGCGCCGATTCGGATTTATTAACAATGGTTTCAATTTATTTAATTTTTTTTTAATTCTTAAGTTCATAAAACTCATTCAACTATATTCATTGTGCAAATCAGTTCGAGTTTAGCCTTTCAAGCTTTTTGTAATGTAGAAAAAATATTCCATTATTTTGTAAAATAATTAGTTTAAAGGGTTTGATATTTGTAATTTAAATGATATAGAGTTATGTCATTTTTTTGTTGTTGATAAAAGGAGGGTCTAGCCCAACAACACTATATTAATAACTTTTGCATGCTCAAAGAGACATGCTCCAACAGACAGCCTGTGCAAAAAGCATTCCAGGAGGATAGAATGCTATCAGGGAGAGAGGAAAAAAACAACATCCCAATCCCTTCCTGTAAGAAACCTAACTTTGCTAGCCTATCTGCACAATCATTCAAATTCCTAGGAACAAAACTCCAACAGATTTGAACAAAACTTTTAGCAATACTCCTAATCTCTTTACAAATGGAATCAAAACAAACAGAACCAACTTGGTCTTCCACACATTGAAGAGCTTCTTTGCTGTCACAATACAGCCAGATTCGCAAGCAATTATTGTCTCTTGCAAGCTTTAAAGCATTCAAAATACCTCTGAGTTCAGCTTCAAGAGGCAAACAGACTCCAAGTTGCAAGGAAAATCCTCCCAACCACTCGCCTTTGGAAGAAACTAGAAAGCCACCGCAAGCACCTTTCCTTGAATAAAAGTTAACAGTTCCATCAACATAGGCTCTGGTAACATCCTGTAAATCAAGAGATTCAGTGCCAAAGGGGACAGCTATAGGGGAAGGACAAGGGTCAAAAGGATCAGCTTTGCTAAATTTCTTCATGTCAGAAAGAAAGTTGAGAATTTTAAGCACAGGATCAGAAGGCCAAATGTAAACCTCCTCATGGACTAAGGCATTTCTCCATTGCCACAAAAACCAACAGGAGATACAAAACACTTCTTTCCAAGAAATCCAAAGCTTAGTTGAGAAAGAATTTTCCAAATTAACTCTAAACCACTCCAAGCCACTTAGAGTCATGAATTTAATAGGGATTGATCCCTCAAACCAAACCTCCCATATTGCTTTTGCAGCTCTGCAATCTCTAAGAATGTGCAAGAGGGTCTCCTCCTCAGAGAAGCAAATAGGACAGCTGTTCTCCCCACCACCCCATCTACTGGTTCTACTCCTGACAGGGAGTTTATTTAAACACGCAAGCCAAATAAAAACAGCCACCCTATACGGTCCTTTCCATTTCCAGATGGATTGCCAGATTCTGTCCTTCTCAGCATTACAGGTCAATAATTGATCATATGCAGTCTTCACAATGGATTTCCCAGGCCTTCTATTCTTCCAAACCAAAATATGACCTGGCATGCTGCAACTAGGAGGAGGGAAATTAACAAGTTTAGACAAAATAGAATCATCAAGAAACTTCTTCAAATAAATCCAGTTCCAATCTCTAGTATTCTGGTCAACAACATCAGAAACAGACATAGCTAAATCAGTGACAGGAGGCTTAGTAGAAGCCATTACAAAAAGGTTCTCATTCCCAACTCCCCATCTGTCCACCCAGAACAAGGACTCCTTACCATCACCAATTTCTCATTCAAGAAATGGATCCAATTTCTCTCTGGCTGCACAAATACTCTTCCAGAGGGAAGAATCACTCCCTCTAGCAATCAACTTATGCTTAGGATTCTGCTTTCTGCCATATTTACCTAACAAGACCTTAGCCCATAATTCTCCTGATCATTTATTAACTGCCATGCTACTTTCTGCATGAAAGCTACATTCTGCACTTTCAAGTTGATGATACCCAACCCCCCATGCTCCTTAGGACAACACAACTGGTCCTATGATACATAGTGAGCTCTCCTCTTCTCCTCAGAGTCTCCCCAAATGAACCTACGCTGCATCTTTATAATATCCTGGCATACATGAGCAGGAAGGATGTTGTTCTGCATCTGATAGCAAGGAATGGCAGAAATTACACTCTTTGCAAGAGT